GGAAAATCCGGCCGGTGGAACTGGTCGACAACGTTGCTTTTAGGATATTCTTGTTCCTGAGCGTTTCGCCTCCTCTTCGGGCACAGCACTGTGGTTTTTTGCTTTCCATTTGTTTAACCTGCAAGGAATATCGGGGAGCAAAAGCACCCTGAAATTGGTGAAAACGTTGGGAAAGAGCTGCGCTTTGTTAAGCATTACTTCCTTTTTTTTTTCCCCCTTCTTCTTCCTTTTTTCTCTCTCCTTCTTTTCTTTCTTTCTTTCTTTTTTTTTTTTGTTCCGAGGCAGTTTAGGAATTTCGCGTGCTCGTCTGCAACTCATTGGAAATTATGCGCCATATTGAAAGTGACATATAATTATAATAATTACGGGCAATGAAAAGCGTGGCAATAATAGTAAATGTCCTACAGCTGTGAAGCTTCTGCATGAATTGATTTTAAAAGTGACTGACATTAAAGCAGCTTGTGGCACGGGGGAATGCATTCATACATAGGTATTTCTGCTGGGGAGCGGGGGGGGAAAAGGGGATGGCAGGCAGGAGATGCTCTTTCGTCGCGTTTTCCCCCCGCGAAGCTGCAGAAAACGGGATCCGAAATGGGCCGGGCTGCTCGCTGGGTCGCGGTCCTCAATCCCCGAGCGGGAAAAGCGGGTCCTTTCGTTTCATTCCCCCCAAAAAACCCCCAAAAAACCGGGAAAAGTTTGGCTGTCGGCGCGGAGCAGGGACGGTGCCCGTCCCGGTCCCTGGCAATCCCGGCTCTCCCGAGGAGCCGCTGGAAACGCTTCCAAGGGAAAAGAAAAATCCGCTCTTTCCAAAGAGCTCGTTGGATTTAGTTTAGATTTTTGTTTTTTTCCTTTTTTTTCACACCCCACCACCGCCAGCACCTCAGATGGACGCCGGAATTCCCGGAGCTGGGAAGCTCCTCGTTTCTCGGGGCGAATTCCCTGGAAATCTGGACTTTTTTTTTTTTTTTTTCTTTTTTTCTTTTTGCGATACACTTCGCTTTGATTTGGGGCTATGAAGTGAGGGACCAGATGTTTGAAAGATGCTAGGCAAATGTTAGGTATCTTTGGGAGATAAATGAGAGCATATTTTTGCCCGTTTCCTTGATTTATTATGTATATGGAGAGCGTTTCGTCATAACTCTTTGTACTGTATCGAGAAAAAAGAGCGCTACTAAAGCAGAATGTCAGCGAGGAAATACTATTGGTGAAAGGTCTTCCATTTGAGATTAGACAAAAAGAGGGAAAACCAGATTTATCTCTCCACTGTAACTTCCGTGGGCTCGGAGTTGCTTGTCCTTGCAGATTAGGAGACATTGTCATACAGAGGGGAAAAAAAGGCTTTCTTTACAACCCTCTGCTCCTTAAGAATGGCAAGTTCCCCTGGAAAAGGGAAAGACAACAACAATAAAAGCGATAATAATGACAGGGGGGGTTGTGCGTGAGATCGAAGACTTCGCTTTTATTAGAGAATTCCATGTTCATACCTAAGACAAACTTCAAACACAACACGTACAAAAAAATTAATAAAATAGAACTTTCTGTTGTTGCTTTTGCATCCTTTTAGGTAGTACTCGTTCTTTCAGTAGATTTTTCCTTTTTTTTTAAAAAAAAAAAAAATAGAGGCAAAAAAACCACCCCAAAACTAATTACAAAGACCCCAGGGCTTGATTAATTTACCAAAGGAGAAAAAAAATAAAGGAAAAAAAAAAAACCTATGTCAACCGTGCATGAAACATTTTTACAAAATTAGGACAATAAACACCCCAAATGACATATATTGCAGCACTTCCATTAAATACAAGAGTTAGCAGATTACTAACAGTGACACCAAGGGTAGAAACACGGCTAGGAGTCCTTGTTTTTTTTTTTTCTTTTTTTTTTTTTTGTGTCTTTTCTCTTTCCCTTTCTTTCCCTCCTTCTCTCGCTCTCTCTTCGCTTTTTAATTATTATTATTATTATTTCATT